TTTCATTTCCAATGTTCCCCTTGCCTCCAATATCTTTATTACCCGTAGCTAAATTTGATCCACTCTCATCTCCAATACCTTACAGTTCTTTCTGAGCTTATTTTAATTCAGTCTTTGCCTTCAATACCATCAGCAAGTGGGAGTTCTTTCTAGGCTTTCTTTTATGTAATCTTTGTCTCCATTACCTTCAACATATGGGACTTCTTTTTAAGTTTTATTTGATTCAATCCTTAATGTCTTCAATACCATCAGTACAAAGAGTTTTTTGTGAGCTCTCATTGTTTCTTTACAGGTGATACATAGTAAAGTTCGAGAACTTGACTTAAGCGAATGTGACATCACAGATGACGGACTTCGAATTCTTGCTTTATGTAAACAGTTGAGAAAAATTGATTTGAATGCTGCCAAGGAAGATAGAACTACCATCACATCAGTTGGTAAGAATTACTGGTGAACGTGAAATGGATTGTACTTGTCAGGATGATTTTAGCACATGGGAGTATTTTCCATGTGTATTTTCCGCACTTTTCAATCTTTATTTGTTTATATGATCAAAAGGTCATTCACAGCTAATACTGGAAATAGTGTGTGGTATTGCTTGATGACTTGTGATATCACTACTGTGTTTTGCATTATTCATTGCTATCTTCTGTATAATTATCTATGCATGATATATTTACAGTGAAAACTGCTCTTGAAAGCAGAAACAATTATAGAAAGAATAAAAGAATACTGTAATGCTTGATTTTTGTAAGGTATTTTTATGATTTTATGATTTTATAAAGACACAATTTTGCGAAAGTCACACCAGGTGTCGTAGCATTCCTGAAATACTGTCTGCTACAAAAGTAGAATCAATTATAGAAAGAATAAAAGTATACTGTTCGCTGCTAGCATTTTTTACGATTTAAGGATTTTATGGCATTCACAAAGACGACATTTTGCAAAAGTTATTGATACTTTGTCGTACCCCTGAGATTTTTTTCATTTTATAATTTTCACTAACTCGTGAAATTTGTAAAAATTTGTCTTTTTTTTTGAGAACAGTAATTAAAAATAAACAAAAACGTTTTGTGAACGGTGTCAAAAGTTTACTTTGGCGCTCAATAATTAACGTCCCTGTCATTATGGTCTGGTTTTTGAAATGGTTTGGTGTGACATGTACCATGTATGCTTTTAACACTAAAAGTACCCAAAGTTTGATCAAAACTTGTAGCAAATTAAAAAATATATTCATTTAGACCAAAATTATCAAAATCAAATATAAAAATACATAAAAACAGACAAGATGTGACATTAAATTTAAAAAAAAATTATTGTACTCAAAGGCAAATAAAATGTTGAGAATATGTAAATCTGAATATTACTCATATTTTTTGTAGGAGTACAATACCTGGCTATGTCATGTCCTATACTGCACACTGTGTATCTCAGACGATGCCGAAATATTACAGACGACGCTATCATCACGATATCACAACACTGTCGTCAACTCATGCAGCTGAACATTGGCGGATGCCAGCAGTTGACAGACACTTCGTTGATGGCTCTGGGTCAAAACTGCAGAATGCTGAAATGTGTTAATTTCAACCAAACAAGGGTGAGTTCACTGTATAACTGTTTTGATTGCACCAGAGATAATTTGTAATGTATTGCTGAGGTTGGGTATGGTAAAATATTTTGGGAGTGAAAATGACATGATTTGAATATTTGACGCAATGGTTGATGGTTCATGAATATTTGGTAGACATACTGTATTTGGTCTATTAGAAGTGCATCTCTAATAAAGTGCACATAACTAAAAAATCATATTTGTTATATACATTAAAATATTACTTATTAGTCCCCATTCGGAAGAAGTTCGAAAACAGGGACTATTAATTTGGGTTTGTTCCGTCTACATACGTACGTCCGGAGCTATATCTCAGACACCATTGACAGATTTCATTCAAACTTTACATGAAGACAATACATAATGTCTTACATATGCACATCAAGTTACTTTATGATCGGAGCAAAAATGGCCGACTGGCAGCCATTTTGGATGTAAAATTTGCTATTTCTGATACGTAAACGTGTCCGCAGCAGTTTCTCGGAGATGACTGGGCCAATTTGGATCAAAGTTTGTATGGTGATCATACATATTGGGTTATAGTTGCATATCATATTTTTTCTGTGATTCAAACTTATATGGCTGACTGGTGGCCATTTTGTTTTTCATGATACCCATGCCTACTTTCCCATGAATGCAATGAACATTTCTGTTTAAATTTTGTACAACGACAGGATACCAATAGATACATCAACATGAACATTATTTTTGTAATTTGATTCAATATGACTGCCCAATGTCCAATTCTCGTGTAAAAGCACTAAATCATAATTTTTTACAAATCCATCTCCTATTAATGGTTTCAATCTAATCTCAATGACTCCATCAGCATCAAATTAATATGTCAGATCACAAAATTTTGGATGGGGACTGTGTCATTAACAATGACTTGTTTTGTCCATAGAACTATCTCTGTAATTTATGTAAGTGTATGCACTATTAATAGAATAAATACAATATATATGTGATTTTCCACATCAACAAACGACTGAGACATCACCAGTGAAACAATATGTCAAGATCAAAAAGAGGAGTTTAAGTCCAACAAACCTAGATGGAAACAATGATATATTGAAGATAGGATACTAGGATACTTTCATCATGATGGTGTTACTAAATTTGAAATGCGATGATGTACCAAATAAGGAGATATACTCTATTATGTATGAGTCACTAATGAATTCAATGTTTTATTGTTGCTAGGTAACAGATAATGGCGTAATTGGTTTAGTAACTGGATGTTGTAAGCAGTCCCTAATGGAAATCCATATGAGTCGTTGTGTTCATCTTACAGATGACTCGGTTGAAGCTGTCATGGAATCCTGTCCTCGGATATCAATACTTTTATTTGATGGATGTCCACTGATTACCGGTAAGTTAGTGATCTGATGTAATGAGATGAAGATGATGATGATGATCCTATTCGCACTGTTTAGCTGAAGCAAACCCTCTATTGCCATCCTTACGAACCTTTGCCTGATCGAAAAACTGTATATTGATCCATCAATCAGCATTACTGTAACAACAAGTTGCATCAATTTCAAATTTAAACCAATAGATTTTGTCGTTTTATATCACATCATAGTTCAACTGACAAAAGTAAACATGTTACAACACTTGACTTTATGTGCCATTTATCATAGTAATGCACCAGAGCACTCGCCGTTGTGTTTAGTTTTGTCAACAGTGAATACAGGTTTATATTGAGAATTCTGTCAGGGTATAATATTTAGGCATCGGCCTAATAAATGAACCTTGGCTTGCGAAGATTGGTATAATACAGCTATCGCATTAGTTCTTGCGTTTTTCACTTTGAAGTTGCATCTCATTCGTGTAAATAAGAATTACATCACTGCTGATTTAGCATGGCATCTGACTAGTGTCAGCATCTCTGCAAAATTGTTTCAATTGTTGCTTTGTACGATGTATGGTATCGATGGTTTGCGGCTTGCGGCATACTCTTCAGAATAATGGTGTCTGGTATTAAATCGACTGTCATTTAGACAGTTTAATTACAAATCAGAAATAACTTTTATAGCTGTGCTGCTGGTACAATTCTATATACTGTAAGCCACTTTACTTTCACAAGAGACAAATTTTCTATAACATGGAGTGTCAGTGATTCTTCACGAATGCCTTGAAAATCAAAATCACAAAACACGGTTTGCTTAACAAATATGTGTAATTATTAGGTTCAGAAAAGATACTCATCCTGTAAATGTTATGATGCGTCAAAATGGTAATAAGTGGACTGATGAGATGAGTAAACGTTTGTTAAGCAAAAAGCTCTATTCTGTTACTTAGTCACCAGGGAACTTGGACACTAAAAGAAGACAATAAACAAAGATATTTTTCACAATTTAATTCACTAGAACAATTCAAAGGAAAAATTTTGTAAATATCGTATTGGTTCAACTAAGCAAAAAACAGAATTCCTGTGAGATTAACATGCTAGAATCATTGACAAAAAGATGTTTTTGTCAAGATTGATAAGGTATTAAATTAAGTTTCATGACAGACTGACTTGCTTTCATCATTCTATAAATAAAGAGTATGCATAGAATGCACACATTGTAGAATGAGTCACATTTCTGCCAAATGCCACATTTAAGTGCTGTGCGTGTTTGCTAAATATAAAAATATATCCTAAACATCAAAATGTCCTACATTACTTAATAGCCATTCTGGCACTTTCACTGTCCAAAGATTGCTAAAGTTTGTTATGCACGGTATAGTTTCAGTTACAGCATCTATGTGATATACCATGTAATAACGGTATCTATTTTTATTCAATGTCAACCAATCACAGAGTGTGTAACAACAGCGAGATGTGATAATACTTGATAGTACACAATAGCCACTCGCCAGAGGGTAGGGTGAGTGGGTAATGTGACCTGATTAATATGTGTAAATGTTAACACAATCACTTGAGCCTCCAGTCAGTCTGAACACCGCCATTTCTCGGCAAAACAAACACACTACTAAAGATGTTAGAGGGCGCTGTTTAAACTGTAGTAGAAATTATGACAGGTCTTCAAATGCTGATTGTCAAGCATTTTTATAATTCTTGATAAAGCAATTATTCAAGACATTTCATGAAGTTGTTACATTAGAGAAGTTTGTCATGCAATGCCTTTATTACAGGTTCTGTGAAATACAATTACTTATTCATATTGAATGATCTTATTCTTGTGAAATTTAAAAATATTAGTTAATACTTATTATATTGTCATATTTTTCAGAACGTTCAAGAGAAGCCATTGAAGAATTGAGTGGACCAAATACAAAGATGAAACAGCTAACTTGGACTGTATATTAAAGACAACTTGTATTACACATTCTGCGCGATGACTGTAGTGCTTTGACATTTCAATATATTTTTGAGGAAAAAAATCCACATTATACTCGTCTCTCATCACACCATCATTTCCTCAATTCGCAAATCACTGTAAACACAACAACATGGGAAATTCAATGTTGTACAAATGTTCAAAATATACTAACCACTCCCATCTCATCCGGTTTTTTAATTTGTACTTCTGTGCAAGAGAGGTATCAGATATATTATTCCGTCCATCTTAGAACAATGCCACTGTATTAACTTTTTTCCCTCATTGTTAACTTCTTGTGGATTGTTACATATTCTCCACCATGATTTGGTGTTTCAGTCAAAAATTATGTACAATAGTTCGTGTGCAAGATGCCACAACTTGTTCTGACCACTGACATAACAGTGGTGTCATAGTAAAACTTAGTAATGAAAGATTACGTAATGAGTCCCTCCCATTGAATATTTAGGTAATAACATAAAAATTGAATTCACTCAAATGTGAAACTTATTTTATATAACTATATTGTATATATTGTAATAATTCCATTATATATTCATAACTGACTCAAAGTTTCTGTGTTAAAAGCTTGTATATTTATGGTAGATACTTTGACTACATTAGTTTGATAGATTATCATTAGAAGATGCTTGCATATAAATTATTCTCCAAAGGCCAATCAGAACAAGTGTTACAGTCAGGTGTTCTGATGTCTGATTGGTTCACTAACCATGTTGATGAGTTTTCATTGGTTTACATAAGGTGTGGAATTTCACATATATATTATGTCGGATACACACAACTTTTATATCATTTTATCAAATGAAAATAGATGTATTTTATTGCCCAATTTATTTTAGAACACAATTCTATGCATGTTCATTTATTAAAATCAGTGTAGAATTTCCAGGTGTTTTCACTATTTTCTCTGTGGGTTTCATATTTAACATGAATGCTGTCAACAGTGGTTCTCCACAAGTTACAATCTGTTATGCTATTTTTTGCTAGGTGTATTTGTTCATGAATACAAAATAAAATAACAGTGTATATAGTTATACTCATGTGTTCTTCATGAATTCTTGGTACTACTGTGGAATACTTTATTTTCGCTGGAATTAATTTTCGCTGAAAAGGCTTTTTTGGCGTTTTGTATGGAATTTATTTTCACTGATTTCTGATGAGCTGAATGTTAAATATAGGAAAAAAGGTATATTCGCTGGATTTTATTTTCACGAAATCATCCCTTCAGCGAAAATAGCGAAAATAAATTCCAAGCAAAAATAAAGTATTCTACACTAATACGTCCTATTACTAATTGTGATTTGTGTTACAATACTTTACATGGCTTTATTTCAAAACCATAAAGTCCACAAAAGAAAAAAAATCAAAGTCTAAAAGCACTGAATATTTTCATTCATAATATATATTCAGTTTAAGTAATACATTTAGTTGGTTACTGTTTTCAAAGTCAACATAGCTGTCTTATTTTGACAAGGTAAGGTGAAATGAACGCTTTTTGACTGATTGCCAATATAATGAATGTGTCAACTGGTTAAATTCAGTTGATGAGTGGAGAGTTTTAGCACTTGTTCAGTATTTACCACCATGATCTTGACACAATTACGCTGATTCACAGGTTTGATTGAAATGAATTTGACAGTCAAAACTATAGGTGCTATTTGCAATCAAGAAATTTGTAGTTTTTATACTGTTGTTATGTACAGTGTTAGTTGGAGCTGTTCATTGAGGGGAGATTTATAATGGTAATGGCAGTCAGAACTGTGCCTTCTTTATTTACATATTATTATAAATCTTAACCCTTTGAGCGTCAAAGTCAACTTCAGACACCATCAACAAAATTGTACCATTTATATTCTGCTAATGAATTAAGTGAAAATTACAGAAATTGTAAATGAATTGGGGAAAAAAATATGGCGCTAAATGATTTAAAAGCCTTTGTGAAGTGCCAGGAGCATAAATAATTAGACTACTAATATGCTAGTTTTAATGTTTATTAAGTATCACTGGATGACTACATTGACTTGTATTATTTAGATATCATCTAATATGGGTTAAATCTAGTACCGAGTTAATTACAATTTTAATATGTTGTTTTGCTTGAAAGACCCTTGATGGATGGATGGGGTGTAAGTATCCAAGCAAACTCAGTCGAAAGAGCTCTGCTTGTAGATTCAAAATAAAGTTGACCATGTTTTGCATAGTCGTATATTAATTATTTGTCATGCTTAATGTCACCACAATAATCTTGCAATATCACAACTAAGATATTTTGTATGCTTGTTGTCATGGAAATTGCAATTGTTATCATCTTGTTACAAATCTCATACTGGCCTACCATCAAAACAATTGATCACCACCATTCTTTAAAGCGAATTTGGATAAGATAAGTTTTGACCATATATAAACCAAAATATTCACCTAAAATACAAAATTTGAGATTGGGCTGGATTCAGTTTCATGACTTTTCCACATACTCCTCCGGTGTGGCAACAATACCTCCAAGCTTCTATCCACTTTGTCAAATAATTGTCATTTACTAGCTCTAAATACTAGCCTTTCTGTATGTCCGGCGGATTCATTGGTGCTCAATGTTGTGTTGTTACAGAATGCCCCAGTGCTGTGTCGGCAATTCTGCATATCTAACATTACATGCGATTCCCACTCAGTAATATTTTTCTAGAAATGTCAATTGCCAGAGGGATATCAGAACGAAGTGCACGCATTGAATTACTGATACCCATAATATCTTATCATCCACCTCCAAATTGGTCCCACATGACCAAATACTTTTTGACATCAACTGACAAATGTTGCGTCATTCAGAATGATCTTCTTAATAGTGGTACAAACTTGATATCCCAGTATGTAAGCTCTGGGTATATGTTTTTCTTGTCTGCTGGCACTCCTACCAGTACATGACCAGTCACCGAAGTTTATGTTGGATATCTGTTTTCACCTTCTTGCTTGTGGGCAACTCTCTCCCGGACTGGTGGCTAACATGTTCTCACTGGGCTGCACAACATTCTCGCCAACTTGCTTCTGAGTTTCTACTCAGTTTATTAAAGTCTCTGAAGCACCCCATCCGCAGATTGCTCGCACTTCATGCCATAAGGTCTTGTCTTCCCAGTTTTTTTACTTTAAAAGAGTAGGCCTTGTCCCGTTTCTTATGGTAGGTCATACCCGCGCTGTATCAGAAATAATTCACTTTTGTAGCATTTAGCTATGATGGTCGACCTCTCCAGCCATTGACCAGTGAGATCTATTCTGCTATAAGTTTATTTATGGTGATGATATTCAACTTTCGATAGTTGATGGGGAACTATTTTTCTTGAGTAACACTACTAGTCACTCAAACACACTCTGCCACAAAATGGGTAGCCGTCTTTAGCATTGTTTAATAAACATGGCATTATGTATATTGCATATTGCACTATAACTCGGTGCATCTCATATCTGTATCTCTGACAGGAATTGTAGACATTATCTAGTCCATCTGTAACCTCGATACTACCTCGGCTTCACCTCGGCCTTTGCTAGAAGTGCATATCGTACTTCATTTCAATACATCATTCATAAACTCTGCTAATATATCTCTCTTCCATCTTTTGGCTCGCCTTTCATCTTGTCCAACTCATTCATGTCTGCATCGAGCAGTGTCTCCACTGTACCAATTGTTGTACATTATTGCAATTTGTTTGGTGTTGTTCGCCATGCCATTACCGAGTCATCTTCTGGTGTTAGCCTCGCCATGGCAATAAGCAGCCCAGGTACGCATGTGCTTCAGAGAGTCGTGTCCCAAGTGGCAGGAATGAATCCAAACAATCAAACTCAAAAACCCTTGACCCAAATGTCGAATGTATCGTAACTGGTGAAATTTCCAGCCATTAACACACAAAATCTCATACTTGTAAACTGGCAATGTCCAAGATCCTCCTCATTTACACCACTCCTAGCAAACTTTTCCAATCACAAAATGACATCGTGAATTAATAAATAAGTTTTTTTAGGTTGATTCTTAGCGGTTCCACTTTCGTTTTCTTCTGTGCTTACGTACTTGAGATAGGGTCCGTTAGAGGAGAGAAAGGAATGGCCAACAAAGGCGTGAAGTGGAGTTGGTTATCACAACGCTTTATTCTAACAAAGCACTCAAAATCAAGTACAATGTACAATGCTTATATAACAATAACACTATGAATATTAATGAGTAAACTTAAATGAGTGACATATAATTAACATAATAAGTAGGAGGTGTTGATGGGTGGAGCTTACATTTGCACACAGTTCCCGACATCCTCCCCCTAGCGAAGATGAAAAACACCGAATAAAGATTACATGACTGTTTATAAACACATGCTGTAAATCGTATTAACAGCAGGATTAACAGATGGAGCATGACAAATAAGACGTTTACAAGAAATAATCCATAAAATACTACTAATACTAAAAGTCAATGCCGTCTGGAATGTAATTATACTTGGTAAATAAACGCTGGGTTCTAACATATTGTTTGACACATAATCGAATGTTGACAATCCGGCTTTTAATGCCTTTCCCTTTTGTTATAATTTCTTCCAGGTGTGGCAATCTACAGTAACTCATTAAGTATTTATTAATGCTTACCATCTGTCTAAAAGGATCGTCTAAACCATGGAGGTAATTCTTATTACCTCCATGTCTAAACGATGGTGTGAATAAATATAAGACTGAATGATTTTTTTTAAACAAGGTATAAAGTTATCAACCTAAATTACGATAACACATGAAACGAATGTTACGAATACTAACTTGAAATAAAGGTTCTCAATGACCAAGTATTTCACAAAGGTTGATAAAGTTTGCATGGAAACGA